TCAGCGAACAAAAGTCAGCCATTTTGTACGAGCTCGGCTCTTGTCAACATTAAACTGGCTGTCGATTCGTTGCAATGAAAACCAAATCGATGCATGTATTCTACTGACGACCTCCTTCGAACGAATGGCTTATTCGACAATTAATCAACAAAACACTTGGATTAAACCAATGTATCAAGCATGCAATGAAAAAAAAGAAGCTGAAACTAAATACGAAGAACAGGTGTACTCTTTTGCCAGCGACAACTTACCTAAATACAAAGCCTACATAAATCAAATTCATTTACAATCTAAACTACAAATCAGTCTACAAAATTTTTTGACTCGAATACCAATTATTACTGAAATGTCACAGTTTAAAGATCGATGGTTCAACCCAAAATATTCAGAATTACCCTTAAGTATAATGAAAAAAGTCCTTGATTCTACTGATTTTCTTGAAATAACTGCATACATTTATGACTTATGTCGATTCTACTTCCTTCTACATCAAACATATGCTCAAATGATTGAAAAAGAAAGTCTTCTTACCACCAAACTCATTGAATTGTATGGAAAAGCGAAACAGTATTTGAAGAGATCCAATCAAAAAGATTATAACAAGGAGATGATTGCTCATTGGAAAATAATTGAAAGGGGTATTGAAGCTGTCAACGCTTATCATGACATTATGGATGGTCATATCCGACCAGGCGCCTGCGATGAAACGCAACGCTTCGACAAGGTCAACAAAGACACGTGCATAGCATACTTTGTTACAGGAGAAAATTATGACGAAGGAAACATTGTTATGCGTATACTCAGGTTAGTTATTTACTCATGTGAACATATAATTATTCTTTGATTAGTTATAAAGGAAACACTCACTTAATGGGAGACATTTAAGCATGGTGTAATGAATAGCCGCATTCAGTATTTATTCTCCAGACTTTTTTTAATTTCTAGTTTATAAATAACTCCACAGAAAGTAAAAATTTGTAGCAGTGCTTTCGAACGCATCAGCATTAGTTTAGAGATTTTCTTTCGGAACTCTACTTAGAAGAGACAATATCGCAATTTTTTTGCATCATTTCCACAAGAACATCAACTCTGCGCATTTAAAAATATTCAATGTGATGGGATGAAGAATTTTACACGCCAGAACAATGTTTTAACTATGAAAATTACTGGATACAAAACTTTGAAAAATAAAAAAAATACCAATGTTGCACAAATTTTGAAACGTGTTTTGTCTAAATAGATACATATATTCCATACATATTTGAGTTACATATTTTAATTAAGATTTATTCAATTTGAGTAAAAATGTAGCTTTTCGAATTTCATTTTTTTTTCTGACTTTTCTTCAAAATGTTCAAAATGAAAGCTTACAAAAGATTTAATTTTACACAATATCATTTGCTATATTTGAAAATATGCAAGATCTCATATTATTACAAATTCCCTGTGAGCTCTCAATTCGGAACGTCAATGCTATAGCACGCTAAGTTTTTCAAACCCTGTTTGTATAATAGATACACATCCTGAAAATAAGAAATTAGAATTTATTAGAAAGATCTTTACTTGAATCAAATGGCTTGCAAAATCGATTTCAGAGACTTTTTCGCGTTCGAAAGAAGAAATAATCAAAGATTTTCATTATTAATAATCGGTTAAAAGAACATAAATTGTTCTCTGTGCCAAAAATACAATTATGCAAGCTATAGCTGAGTATGATTTTATACGACTTACAGTATATAAAGTCTGATTGTTGTGACCTCAGTTACATAATGCTCACACTTTTATTTAAAAATATCGGGTTCTTTCAAGTCAATTTTTCCTTCGACACTCGATTCTTTAGATAGAGTTCAGTGAAAAATTTTCACTTGCTATAGCTTAGTGATTCGGATACACGAAAGAGAACCAGTCGATTAATTGATTTATATTTTAGTCTCATATCTTGCAATTCTTTATCAGTGAAGCGCTCACTGATATGAATCGGATTTCTCTAACCATTACTTAGTAGGTATTATGCCATATCATAAATCGGGTTGTGTGGGATAAGAAAAGAGCAGAAACGGTACGTTTAGCGTCATATTATTGTTGATATAAGATGAGTTTTTTTAATTTTGTACCCTCAAAATTAGATGATACAAGTGAAATTGAAATTCATAAATAAAGAATTATAAAAGTAAGACATTGTCTACGTATACTCCAATGATTAGTTACAATACGATCATCTAGGATCTACAGCGGCTTGACTTGTCGAAACAGTCCTAGAGTATGCGCACAGTGTGTCGCTGTGACAGGGTACCATGAAACAGTCAACCACCTGGCAGATCCTGATTGATCGCAGTAGGCATCCGAAAACTCGCATATACTTTATCAAAGCTCAGAAGAAAATCAAGTAGATTCACTTAATTAAATTCTGAAATATTTTGTAATTCATTTTCAATATCATTTCTTTCAAACGAAAAACGATGGAAAATAATTTTTCATTTTCTCGACTATTATTCCACTTAGGTTACATAAATAGAAGAATGTTCGACATGTTAAATGATTTTCTATCAAAAACTTATATTAATACAACTAATGTGGTTAGTAAATATTCTTGTAAATTTAAAATTTTAAAATATCATTGAAACTGAATTGCTTAATTTACTAGATAATTCATTTTAAAAACTTAACTGATCCTGATATTTTATTTTCCAAGATAGAAATAGAAATCGATGGACATCTCTTTCTCTGAATCACTTAAATACTCCGATAACGAAATAGCGTCGCAGGAAAAAGTAATGAAAAGCTTTTATATTTCTTATTGAATCGCGATGAATAAGCATGTCTCGTGATTCTAAAGCGAAAAATCATTGTAGACAGATGTTATTATTCTTTCACCTATTGATTCGATTATTTGTTTTCGTTTTTCAAGCATTCTTATCGATTATCACAACAGCTTTTTGGATAAGGTTGAGCAGGAACTCAACTCTTCTGAAGATCAGGGTATAAACATCATTAAATATTTGATTGGTAAAATAGTACCAAAGGAAGTCTCCATAATACAAGTTGTGCGTGAAGGCGCAGGTGTATTGACTTTGAAAAAGGATGGCAATTCATGGATTGAAAAATATGCACTTGCAAATCTCATTTTGGACAATGAAAGTTTTCCAGTCTCCGATACAGAACTGAATTTTGACTACTTGAACGTTCAGTCGTATATAATACGAACTTATTTACTTTTATGTCACATTAAATATCAGGATATCTCTCAAAAGTATGTATGTTTTATACCAAGAAAAGTTACTAATGCCATCACAACGGGTGTTGATGGTATCATCGAATTGGATGAAAACTATTCAGTTCCACTGGAAGATGATTGGAGCCATTTAAATAAACTATCAATCGATCAATTGTATAATGGTTACACTATCTTAAGACAGATTACTTCGATATTGAAAAATGAACAACGTGATCAATCGTCTGAACAGCTGTATACTTATATTCAAACAATCAATGGAAAAGATTTAACTGTTGAGATATTGAAGGAAAATAATATACGAGATTTTCAACTTTGTCACATGAATCATGTCGGTAAATTATACAAAGATTTAGTTGGACGATTCGAACACTTGTTCACAGATACTTCTCCTCTACTTCAAAGGCCAATGTCAAATGAACTAAGCAAAGAACTTGAAGAGAGCTTTCAAAATAAACTGATCAATATCGATAACGGCTGTGATGATAAAAACTTGTTAGTCAAAACATTGGAGTCAAGTATAAACGATATCGATGACCTTTTAAATGAATTAAAAGATATTCAAGACACACTTAGTGATAAAGGAACTGAGTCATTAACTAAAATATGTCACGACATGCACATTAAAAATTCTCTTCTTAATATTATTGGCGACAAAGTCAAATGTGAAAATTACGTATTCTTGACTGTTCATTTAATTCACGTTCGATCCAAATTACAAGAAAAAACAATTGATTTTGAAGAACAAAACACAAAACAATGGACTGATAGTTTTTATGAGCAAGCAGATCAAACAAGCCAACGAAGTACAAGAAATCGTTTTCGTCCTGATGAGAGAGATGATGAGGAAGATTATGACTCTGGTGGGCGTCATGTTCCTGGTATAGTCCTCAATTCAAATCCGGAGCCGGACCCTCTTCCATCACCTCCGAATCAGGTTCCCATATTATCGCCTTTTGAATTGAATATCGGACCTACTTCAATAGCATCATTGAAATCAGTGTTTGGAAGCGATGATCAGACGAATAATGCAACAACTTCTCCAGACAAAGTTGAAATGTTTGAACTTACAAACCCATGCAATGTTCCAAAATTTAGTATAAAATGTAAAACTGGAACATTCTATGGCAAACTGAAGGCACATTTGATCCAGAAAAAGTACGATATGAATACACATGCCGTCGTTGACTATAATAAAATATTCGTCGACTTTACACGAACCGATGCTCGTCTACCTAAACCATTCCCTACAAAATATTGTATCGTTGAAAAGAGCTTATTAATTCCAATTGTTTTTCAATATGGAGGCGAACAATACGAATATTTAACATTATCAGACTGTAATGTCCACAGTATTATCCATCGTTTTATAGATGAAAAGGAGTTAAAACAATCACCCGAAGTTCGTCTTTTATTTTATGACAAACTCGGGAAATGCATCGAAAATGAAATGGTTTCAGAACTGCCGCACGACGTGAATCATAACTTGCCAGTCGTTATTGTAGTCAGAGAAGAAAATATTGAAGACGGTTTATTATATACAGCTAATCTACAAACGAAAGGTAGTGTTTGTTCAGGAGATCAGTATTTTAAAAACATCTCTGATTATTTGAATTTAGATCAAGAACAAAAAAGTCTGTTTCATCCAACAACGAAGTGGTACCAGATCGACATTTGGCGTAAAACTCATTTGCAACAAATCGATTCATCTTGTGTTTACATAAACAGAGAGAGCAAAGCTATATTTGATAAAAATGAATCGATATCTATGTTAGAGAAGAATATAGTAACATTGGATGGTATTAGTGAAGACCAAACTCGAACTGTTACTTTATGTTTTGGATCGAATGTGAAAGTTATTCGAACACTTGGTTTGCTTCGAATGCACGATCTATTGAGTAGGGACACCCTTCGACAATTCAGTTTAATTGTTTCACCAGAAGATTGTGTGTTCACATTTGGTGATCCTGATGAACAAGAATTATCTGAAGAGGATATGAAAAAATTGGTCGAAGAGTTTCCTCAACCAATACAGTGTCGAATATGGCTAAAAGTTCACATTCATCAATATGATATTCAACGAGATATTGTCATAAAAATTAAAGAAGATACTATTACTGTGGATCAAATATTGCACATGCACGAAATACCCAATGAAGATTACAAATATTTAGCTTCTAGCGATAGAAATGCAGTTATTGCTGATGACCAAAAGTTTGTTGATTTGAATGAAACAAAATTCATTCTTCTTAAAGAAAATGAAACATGTTGTGTTTCAATTGGTGATTTAAATAAAGCACAAGAAGATGGTTATTCTAAACGATACGCAAAATTCGCAACTATTGCCGATGTCTTGAAAGATAGTAACGTTGATGCTGATTGTCTTCTCTGTCTCAACGATATTGCTCCTTCAAAAGACATTAAATTGGCTTTACTTCCATCACCAATTCAATTTCAAATTATCAAGGACGACTTACTAGCACTCGTTACTGTTACCAATCCGGAGCAAGAAAATTGTTCCATTCAGTTCAAATGTTCAAAATCAATTACTACAGGAAGGGTATTCGAAATTTCATGTCAATTACTAAATACCAATACAAGCTACTATCAACTTAATGATGAATCGAGCGAAATAGATTATGAATTAACTCTCGAAGATCTCGAGTCATCTTCCAGTAATTTTCACTTTAACTTAGTCTCTATATTTGATATGACATGCTATATACGATACAAAAGTGAAATCTTTAAACTACCGTGTTCAAAATCAACAGCGTTTAAAGATCTTGTAGAGGAAATGTTTCGAAAGCTTCATATTTCTGAAGAAGACATCGATCAGTTTCAAGTAGAACAGATTTTAAATGATAATGAGACATCAGCAATCGATATGGATCTAACGATTGACGATATCCTTGCAGCTGATTCTGGAAATCCAGACACAGTGAGTTTGGTGTTCGAACTGAAGAAGAATGACGAATAACTAGCTATTCTTAACATTTCTTATTTTTAATAAAGAAACAAAATCGTTCTTAACATAGTTCGTATGTAAAATAGAGGATTATTGCTACGAAGAAAATTAATTCAAGTCGACTTTTCAATTCTTATAAAAACTAATATACTTAATTCTGTTACATGATAGAGTACTTAGAAAAAGTGATGTGACGAATAAGAATACAAGTCAGTGACCGAAATGAAGCGAAGTCGAGAGCGCAAAAATATGATTTAAGCCAAAACAGAATGAGAGAGATGGTGAGATAACTTCCCTATCCTTGAGTTTCACAGTCAACACTCATAGATGTATGTTACAGTTGCTAAAATACATCATATAAAACTATTGTAATGAATGCTATTATCTTTTAAACATCGGAAACAGCTAGAGAAACAAAAGAAAACAGCTGCGAGGGTGAAGAGTGGAAAACTCAGCTCATTTCGGCCTCTGACACAAATCGAGCAAGCCTATTTATCTGCAAAGAATAAGTTGGGTGTGGGTGTGTCTGTGAACTTCATTACATACTACGCTACACACTCACACCCACATTCATAGTCGTCGAATTATGGCTATCTCCGTACATTTCTACAATCAAAGTATGATGTAATTATATATATATATATGAAGCCTAGATTATGGTATTTATCCAGACATAATTGAGTTCATTTTCTAATATATTGAATGAATGGAAGTCTTATCTCAGGTCAGATTATGATTGGCATACCATTCTTCGTCATCACAAGATTTATCGATGATATTTTTAGGGAAGATTGGGTTGCATTAGGGCTATATATACTGCAAGTTTCAGCCTGTTCTGCTAAAGTTTCAGCCTGTTCTGCTAAAGTTTCATCATATAAACAGACTGTTCTCTTAGTGATTTTACAATCACTCGTATCCTGCCTGATTATTTGAATCTTGGTTTTTATATAAAAATCTGTTCTCTATAATCTTCTATCAATTGCTCAAAAACCGCAGATCACTGTGGCTTTCCGTTCGAAAGCCACAAGTGTTTTTCCCAATGTTTTTTTTAAAATTCCGATAAGAGTTAAAGAAAAATTTCGCACTGTTGCATAAGTTTTCAATATCAATCACAAACCTTACCAGAATTGATAAAATGATGAATGAGTTAGCAGTAATTGTCGATGGTGTGGGTGTGGGTGGGTGTGGGGTGTGGATGTGAGTTAGAGTCCGTTGGGTCCATGATTTTTTGGACCCGACCTGGACTCGAATGATAAAAGTTTATTGGACCCGGATCCGACCGGTTAAGTTTTTTTTGGACTCGCACTCGTCGGGTTAACTTTTTTTTGGACCCGAACCGGGAGCCGATTTATCAAAGTTTTCTGATCCAAATCCGACTAACTAATTCTTTGTCGGTTTGGGCATGAATCATACGTTTGAAACCCTTAGTGAGAACGAACAGAAATAAAAAACGCACAAATAAAAATTATTATATATAGTGGATGTTTTTCCTGATCAATAAAGATTTATGGACCTGGAACGGACCCGAGCCCGATCAACTTAAAATTTTTGAGATTCGGGCTTGGACCTGATGAATTCAAAATTTCGAGACCCGACAGACTCTAGTGTGGGTATGAGTGGGTGTCGATGTGGGTGTGGAGTGTGGGCATCGGCGAGGGTGAAGGTGTGAACCAGTGTGAGGGTGTGGGTGTGCGAGTTGTAGTGGGTGAGGGTGAAGGTGAGCATCCGTACGAGTGAGGATGTGTGGTGTCTATGGATTGAGATCTCGATATACTCATACCGACACCCTTTTGCACTTGCAATCAATAAGAATTCTGCTAAGTATGACTGGCGAGGAACTGGTCGGAGAGTTAGGGTCAGAGGAGTAAGTGTCACAGAGAAACAAATGTCGGGGGAACATTTGTCTGGGGAGGATCTTTCATGGAATCCCATTGTTGCCATGTATACGGTTGTTTTCTCCATACTTATGCCTATTTTGCCCATACTTATCATCTAGTAACTGTGTTACAGACAGACATAAATGAATTTCCATTTCTAGAAGCTATCCTTTCACTCTAAGCACATAATCCATTCGGAAGTCGTTTTCTCGCTAGCGTTGACTGTCAGCGTATGTCGCACTGCTGCTCAGCAAAACATTACAGTTACATTGATAAGAGACCGAATGTACAACTCACTATATTAATAGTAAATTAAAATAGATGATTAATTTGAAAGAAAGCTTGAACATGTTCACTCTGTAATGTATTTTGAAAGCGAAAAACAAAATGAATTGTTTCGAAAAACAAAAATGAATTTTTCGAAAAACGAAATAATCTTTTCGCTATAGAAAAATAATAACAGTCAGTTCGAGAAAAAGAAACGAGCGCAAGGATCGAAAAATCAACATGAAACTAAAAGTAAAGAGAGAATGAGCGATGCTATTGACATATGCGCTTCATATTTTTTGCTATATGTGATTAAAAGGGAAAAAACACTGTATTTCGTTTCACTTCATTTGTGTAAACAGAGAAACAAAGTAACAACCTGCTGATGTGGCTGCCCGAAAAACTACGGCTCTTCACACATTTCCCGAAAGAGGAGATGAAATTGAAAACCGCTCGTTCACGACGATTGCATTAAACTAGAGTATATATACAGTTCTCACTCAACAGTACTTGCATCCGCTTATCATCTCTTCGTGTGGGTGCGGAATATGAGTGTGGGCTGTGGGATGTGAGTGTGAGTGTGAGTGTGGGTGAGAATATATCCTATTCCGCGATGTTGAACATTGCAAAATCAATTCCGCTCCTGGAATTAGTTCCACCGATTCCGAAATTCCATCTGATCCAAATCTTATTCAATTCCGGAATCGAAACAAATCATTCCTGCAATTCCGGAATTCGTTAAGTCAAGCTCCTTGCTATACCCAGCTGCTCCATTGGATTCCATCCAATTCCGCAATTTAGTTGTAGCTTATTTATGCTTGAATATCACTTCACATCATCGACTGAAATCCGCAACGGAATTCCGGAATTGCGTTGAAGAGGAATTAGATGGAATTCCCGGAATTCCGTCCAATTCCGGAATTTGGTTGTAGCTTGTTTTTGCTTGGATATCACTCCACACCATCGACTAAATTCCGGAACGGAATTCCGAAATTACGTCAAATAGGAATTAGACGGAATTCCACGGACTTCCTTCCAATTCGGCCTAATTCCGGGATTTGATTGCAGCTTCTTTTTGGTTGGATATCACTCCACATCATCGACTGAATTCCACAACGGAATTCCGAAATTTCGTCAAAGAGGAATTAGATGGAATTCCTCGGAATACTTTCCAATTCCGTCGAATTCCGGAATTTGGTTGTAGCTTGTTTTAGCTTCCCAGGACGATGATTCCGGCTTCCGGATCCGGCAGGATACCAACAGGAAGCAGGGCTATTTCCCGTTAATTTCGGCAGGTTCCAGCTTATTTCCGCTTGGAACCGACAGGAAAACATACGGAAAATGGAAGCAGTATTCTGGGCCGGAAAGCACCGTACCGGATTCTTTCACTTCCGTGCAAATCCGGTGTCCGAAATTATCTTTGAAAAAAACCACATCCGCGTGGAATTCTTACGGAAAGTCACCGCATCCTGCTTCGCAGGTCGAAGAATACGGAAAGGAACCAGCCGTTTCCCGTGGGAAATTCACGGATACAGTCGCCGGAATCGTTCTTGGAGTGTTTTTCTCCAGGATACGGTGAACTTTCCCGCCGGTTCCTAGAGGATGTTTTTCAGAATCATTGACGTGGGATCATATCGAGCCGGAATCACAGTGGAAACGGCCGAATCCACTTCGATGTTATCTACGAACAACATAGAAAATCTCGGGAATCCACGGAACATGGCCAAAGTATTCCTAACCAGGACACCGCCAGCTATTTCCAGCAAACTCCCGACACTTCCGTCCCTTTCCCGCCGGAAACGCTCGGAAACGGCAAGTAGAATCCGTAAAAGTCCCGCACAATACTATCTCTAAGATCCGATCGTTTCCTGCCATTACCCGCAGGAAACGGTGCACTGGCCCGTTTTCCCCCCAATTCCATAAAAATTCCCTACTTTCGGTCAAAAAGTGGGTTCCGAACGACCTAAACTCCAAATTTTGACCTCACTTACGCATTCACATTTTACTCAATGAACTCTGTCCTTGCTTTAAAGTTAATAGTAAACGGTAGGTTTCCATCGATAATAGCCATAGACTATGCACATTATGTAACTCTACATCAACTAATTGATTAGTATGCATCTTAATTAGTCCTCATCTTAATCAATACTCATCTTGATTAACACTCAACACAATTAGCACTAATTAAGATAAGTACTCATGACTCACGATGGATTAAACCATAAAGATGCATAGGCACTGAAGTGCAACGAGATGGGTGTACCCTTAAGTCCTCAAGCACTATCCTATAGAGGTACTCTAAGGTCATCAAGGGCTTTCCGATAAGGATACTCTTAGGTTCTCAAGAGCTACCCTACAGCGGTACTCTCAGGTCCTCAAGGACTATCCTATAAGAGTACGGATAGGTCTTCAAGCACTATAATATGGAAACCGCCAGGAATCCCCAAGGACCATCTTATATGGGTATGCATAGGTCCTCACGGACTATTCTATAGGGGTGCTCAAATGTCTTCAACCGCATTCCTAGAGCAATACCTATAGATCCTAAAGACCTATCGTACAGGGGTATCTATAGGTTTTCACGGCATATTAGATAAGATGCCCATATGTTCTCGCTCATTTTTTTATACCGGTATACGCAGGTTCGCAAGCAGTATAATATGACAGCGCACATTAGAGCTCTTGAGACGCTATGGCCCATCATTTTGAAAGCATAGCACATTTATATAGACCCCCTCGGCGTGGGATAAAACTTACTGTACTACTAGCATTTCATAGACTGATCTCGAAAATCAGTTTGAAAATAGTTACGAACGATGCTATACCAGCTTCGAACCAGCAGTTTCTGAAACAATGTCCGTCAATCATTGATTTCTCCGAATTGTCCATTTCAAATCATTACAACTTGATAAAGTTCACACCGCATAATTATCAATGAAAAATTAACCTATTAATCAATAACATTTTTCACTGAAGTTCCCTTTCAACTGAAATACTCCGTATAACAATAAAATCTTTCATCCTTTCGCAAGGATATCTTCCGCAAAAAGGAAGAACCCTTAGTTACAAACTTTTGCACATGTTAAGATCATCTTTCCACGACGTATACATTTATCCGATTTTCAGAGGTTGCGTTACCACACGTTTCCCAAAAGTCTTTTTTTCCTTGTCTGACTCACAGTCGAAACAACGCAGAGTCAGCCGGAGTTCTTAGACACTTCTCTCCAAAGTGTTTTCTTCCTTCGCTGATTCAGTCCGACTAGTTACGAGACTTTTCTCGAAACTGTTTTTTGCTTGGGCTGATTCAGCGCTAAAACAGCGCTGATTCAGCTAGAGTAGTTACGAGACTTTTGGCAAAAGCTTTTTTTCTCGTTGCTGGTTCAGTGCTGATTCAGCCAAAGTAGTTACGTGATTTTTCCCAAACTCCTTTTTTCGTTGGCTGATTCAGCAGGAAAACAGCGCTGATTCAGCGAGACTAGTTACGAGACTTTTATCGAAAGATTTTTTTTCGTTCGCTGATTCAGCTAGAGTGGTTTCGAGACTTTTCTCAAAAGTGGTTTTTTAGTTGGCTGATTCAGCGCTGAAACAGCGTCGATGCAGCCAGACTAGTTACGAGAC